CCATGTGCTACTCTTCCTCAACTTAAGGATGCTGTTAAGGTATATGGAATTCAACATATTTCATCAAATTTCATAAGAAAATCCCTTTTGTTAGTACCAGTTTTTTTTTTTTTTTCATTAAGGATATTGTTTAATTAAATAAAGCATACTGCTATTCCTTTACATGTGGCATGTACATCTTTAAAAGTCGTCGAGCGAAATATAAATAATTTTCTTCACTACTAATTCTAGTTAAGTTTATTAGAATGTAAGAAAACTATTTATTTTAGGCGATAAGTTGCTTATTTTGTTGAGTTATGTTTTTTTCTTTGCTTACAATTCGTAACTCTTTGCAGGAATGTTTAAAAATTTTCGGCATTGATAAATGTGATGGAATTGATGCTGTAATGTGTGAGCTGTTTTCACTGGAAGCATTACGAGCTCTTCATCGAATTTCAACTTCAAGTACCAATTGGTGGTTTCCAGCTCATCTGGCAGATTTGTTGCAAAAAGCTGATGAACGGATAATAAGTGCCTATGATATGGATGTACGTCAATACTTGGTTATTGAATATGGGTCGTCACTCTTCAGTGAACCTGGGTAAATTACTATTTCTCTCACAGGTATTAAGGGCAAAAGTTGAATGAAGACTTGAAATTGATTTTATGAAATACAAATAGAGAAATGATTAGAATTACCCAGAATATTTCAATCATTCAATCTTGCAAGCATAAACAATTTCAATATTCTTAATAAAGTAGGATGTGCTTTCAAGGAAAAAAAAAAGCCGAAGAGATAACTTAGACTGCATGCTTAGCAAATATTACAGATTATGGCAAGTGGGATTTGATTATCTTCGTGAAACTGGTAATGAAGGATTGAGTCATCTAGAGTTATTGATAGCACAGGTACCTCTGGATAACGAAACTGTTGCTACGAAGTTATGTTCACTATGCGATGAAGTAGATTTTGATCAAACGCGAAAGGATATTGCACGAGCTATGGCTTACAAGTAAACATTTATTTAAAAAAGAAAAAGAACTGTATATTATAAGAATATTAAAATTGCTACAACTGAAAATTGACTTGCTGAAGTGTAACATACAAAGTTAAGCTGAAATAAAATTGTAAGTTTTATTTCGTCTTAATATCACTTTTGTTCCCATATTATATGTCACATTATTTGATTTTTCAGGCATCAATTGTAATTTTTCCACTCTTTTTTGCAGGTTATTGCGTACGGGGCGATGGGGTAGCGCTCTTTCCTGGGCAATACGATCACGTGATATCGAGATTGTCTCTACTGTTGCGGATCAGGTGATATCACGATGTTCACCGGATCAATTTTCGTCCATCACTGTTGTTGAGCATTTTACAGAAGTGATGCTCCTTTCTTCATCATTTATATTTTTGCATCGATATTATAAATTTCGAAAATTGCTGGATTCAGACCAGAAAGTCAAAGCTGCTGAATTGCTGGTTTGTTGTTTTATTCTAATATATAGCTATAAATTATGAGTTTTGTAACAAATGTAGTAATGAGCAAATATAATAATTTTTACTTTTGTGGCGAAAGGTATACATTTTTGCTTTGGCTAGTAGTTGAACAATAATAATAATGCTAGTTTTAATTATCCTTCTTCTGAGCTATTTTCGTTGCGAATTATTCCGTAAATTGTAACCAATCTTTTATATCTTTCTTCCTGTACAATGGATATTGAGAGAATGTTAATTTTACTTAATTTTTTAATTTAATTTATTTATAGGTAGAACTGATTGTTTCCGATTTGGTGCCGAGAGAATTTGATGTTATACTTCTCTCCGACTTGATTTCTATTCTCAGTGAGGAAGATGAGGTATTTTCTCACTCATTCTACGATTTTTTACCTTATTATTTTGTCTCACAAGAATTTTGCATATTGTAGTATTTAATTTGAAGTATATATAAATGCCGGAGAAATAAAAATGGAATATCAAGTAGAGGCTCCTACTAGAACATGAATGTTTTTAGCTGATATTATCTAAAGTAGTGATTAAATGAATTTGTTGAAATTCAAATGTTTTTCACATAGTTTTGACTTAGCTTTTTCAATACTTATAAATCATTTGATTGATTAATTGTAAGTATCGTAGGTGTTGTGATTTCATAAAACCTATGGATATGAAGGTTATGATTTACTGAGAATATGTTACAGTGATTGAAATTTTTTTCCCAATTATTAAAGTTATGATTTTTATAATTAAGTCATCAGTTTTTAGTATTTGTTTTTGCTGGACTTATTCATATTTTATAACTTAAAGATAAAGAGAACAATAAATTTCATAATTAACTACTGATTTTTACAGTATCGTAATCATTTATATATAATCGCAAACAATGAATTATTTAACAAATTATAAGTAATGAGGAAGGATAACTATAACCTATCATAAGTCTTTTCAGGTTATCATAAGCAAAGATGGTAGTGAACAGTTATTGGAACATTTAGTAAAGTATGAAGCAGACGGTCCGTTTCAACATAATTATGATGAATGGAAAATGCGTTTACGTACGGTTCGCTTCTTACTGTTACGAAATTTGGCTCATGTTATCTCTTCTACTTCTTTGTGATTCATTTCTGATCATTCGTTATATCTCTTTCTTTTGTTATTTTTTGATCTCGTTCAAAATGACATTTGAATATTTTAGATTTAGTTCTTTATAGCTTTGTAGCATTTATCAACTTTTTTTCCTCTATTTCAGATTAGTCAGTTCAACTGAATAATACTTAGGTGTGAAACATATACAAAAAATGTAAATAGGTTAAATGAAAATTATATTGAGCGTTAAGGATAAATACATTGACTTGCTTTAGTTTGAACAAAGCATGCTTTGATTAAGAATGTCGAGAAAACTTTTACCAACAAGTTGACTAAATCCAATCCGATTTTTACCAACAAGCTGGTCAGATCAAAGTCGAGTTGATCTTTTCAACTTGGACATTTATCGTATTTGGATATATCTTTTAATGCACTAAATTGTCATTTGACCACATTTATTCGACGAATTCTTTACTAAAATGCTTGAGAGATGGATATGAAAGAATTTGATAATGATAAAATAGGAGAATGAATAGGTATAATTTTTGTTGTTATAAATTTATTGCGAACAATATTTTATTAATTGTTTCAAATTTTGCTAGAATTGACATTTTTTTAATCTACTTATTGCCCGATAAATTTTTTGATCATATTTATTAAACAGACAAATTTTCTATAATTATAGCTACTGTCAATGAAGTAAAATTCTCTTCGAAATAAGCTCAATAATTATAAACTAGTCGTAATTCTTAGAACTTAATCTTCATATTAAATAAAATAGCTGGGTAATAATTCATTATGAGTTGACAATCCAGTAAACATAGTAATAGAAAAAAAGAATTGTGGGAAAGGGCGTATTGTTAATCATTCTTATCAATAATATTTCAAAAGTTTTGATTCTACTTGAAAAAAAAAAATATTGCTGAAAAGTTTTTTCTTTCATTCGGATAATTTAAAGAAAAAAGATTGGTATGAGAAAGAGAGAGATTTTAATGTTTATAATGCATTGTAAACAGTTAAGTAATTAGTAAATTCAATAAATAATTTGAAAGTGATTGCATGAAGAAGGGAAGAAAAAAAGAACGAAATTTTCTAATCTGAAATGTACTGTAAAAAATATCTGAACTATATGGGAAGAAATAAAATGAATTAAAAATAAGACGAATTTTTTTTCCTTAAAATCTCAAGTGTAAATCTTGATTTTTTTTGTTTTAAATTTCTGATTCAAATACAAGAAGCAAAACCAGTGGTAAATTTTACTCCTTCCTTTTTTGCCATAAATTTAATTCAATAAATTTTTTCATTTCTTCACTCATTCACATACACACTCCCTCTTTCTTCTTCACAACTAAATTCTTAGCCTAATCAAAGGAATTTAATTTGCTGAAAAAATTTGGAATCAAAATTTGAAATTTCCTACTGCTTTCTGAAACTTCGACAATGTTTTAAGTACATAGGTGAGTATTAATTCTTTTTTTATTTTTAAATTTGTGTTTTTAAATTTAAGATTTTTGCAACCTTTTCTCTGTCCTTTAAAATCATACATAAAAGATATAAATTCAAAATAAATTGCAAATTATTTATTAAATCTCAATTTTATTACAAAAAAATTATAAAATGATAAAGAATTTTATATTAAAAAAAAAGAGAATAACGAATATAATGGGATGAGATTAGTAAATTTCATAATGATCAATTCATTAGTGTCCTAAGCACTTTTTTGCAATAAACTTAATCCAGTAATATTTTTCGTTTTACAATATTCTCTGGGAAAAAATTTGGATATTTGTTGATGATTTTTTGCAGTTATTACATTTTTTGCAATGCATTAATTTTATTAACTTATGCAGCCTTTTTATTTTTTTTATCGTCTACCTAATAACAAAACGTAAATATTTTCCATTTTCTCATTCTTTAACTACATACTCCTCATTTTTTTGTCCAGTCTCTTCGTTTACTGGAATATTTCTCAGTAATATATCTATTTCAAATTAATTCTTATCAATCCTTAATTCTCTTCGTCAACATTATATTTTCCTTTCAGTTATAATCGAATTTTTCAAATATTAGTTTCTTTTTCTTTTCATCATACATATTAAGAATAACAGTATAAAATAATATGAATAACAATAGAAAAAGTACCAATTATTCGGATATATGAGCCCTTTACTGGTTAACTCTAAATTTTATTTTCCGATCTGGATCCTTTCACAGTCTGATTGCGCTGATATATTCGCGCATTTTTATTCCCGCACTCTCCATTTTATCTTTTTTATAAAAATGTTCTTCAACACTTTTTCATGTTCTAATGATTTATCTTTTTTGAATGTTTGAGTTCTGTGAAGCTTGAATGTTTTAGTCTTTGGGATTGTTAGTTTTGTTGTAAATTATTACTTTAAATTAATTATTAAATCCTATTGTTATAATTCAGTGTGACAGCATGTTGTCTGGTTTATCAAAACAGCGATCCCTTTCTTCGGTGACACCAGCAATGTTAATTGGAAATAGTCGATTGGATCCGTTATCGTTAGGTATGATGGGCATGGATAATCGAGAAGCTGTGATCATCGATATCGGCGCTGTCCTAACCAAGTTTGTTCCATTTTTGTACATTGTTTATTATGAAATATTTGAATCTGCTCCAGTTTTTCCATTATCTTTATTTTTTACATGACTTTTTTTTTTAATTATAACGAAAGTAATTATAGTTGAAACATAATTTATGGTAAGTCAATACATTTTTACTTCAGAGTTGGTTATGCAGGTGAATTTGTTCCACGTGCAATAATACGAACAGAGTTGTTAGATGATTGTAGAGGTGAAACAGTAAAAGTTTTCGATGATACAATTAGTGAAGAAGAGCTTTATCGTAGACTGGTGAAATTTTTCCGAGAGTTGTTTTTCAAGTAAGTCATATATACTTTTATATTAAATATCTATATTGTAGTATATCATCATAAATTGCAATGACTTTACTTATGATTTATAGCTTCAGGAATCCCTTTCCATACACTTAATTTTATATTCGTCTTTAGTACAGTGTGATAGCATATTGTCAGATTTTAGTTTTTTATAATCTTCACTCTGAAAAAATTTTACTGTACAATTTAGAATTTATCACCTTACACTTGTTAGATACTTACTAACGGTTGCCAAAGATCGCCGAATTGTAATCGTTGAAAGTATTTTGGCACGGACATCACATCGAAATGCCGTGGCACGAGTACTATTTGATGCTTTCGATGCTCCATCGGTACTTTTCGCTCCATCGCATCTATTGGCAACATTTTCATTTGGTGTCTCAAATGCTCTTGTTATTGATGTCGGATATTCGGAAGCAACTGTTGTCCCGGTAATAATACACTAGGATTTCGTGTAAAAAAATATCATTTGAAATATAACAAGACGAATACATTACCTGTAATTATGTCCACTTCTGCCAAAATTTAGAAAAAAGTTATAAATTACATGTCAGATCGAAGATAATATCTAGGAAACCAAATTATTAAGGTCTTTCACGTAATTTTTTGAAGCACGCATCTAGCATGATTTTATCTGTTAATAAGTATTTAAGGCTTTAGAAGCTTTGTATATCACTTTCTGACACTTCAATTGGATTGCAGTTATTTATTTAGTTTCTAGATTCTTGAAAGTGTCACTATGTTGTATCAACTGGAAACCTCATGTATTGGTGCGAAATATTTAGAAGAACGCGTTTACGAACTATTGCGAAAGTAAAATTTCATCTTTTTTTATTGCACGTTTATTGTTATTTGTCTTAGATCATTTAATTACAAATATGATGTAAATACTAAAATATCAGGAAATTTTTTCTCTTAACTGGAATTACGGCGACGAATACAGTCATTGCGAGCTATGCTATTAATGATTTTGTTTTAATGCAGTTTGATTTGCATATGAGAAAGCATATGACAGAATTGTTATTCGTTTTTTTGCTTATATGCGGATAAAGTAGAACAAAGGAACTTTGAATATTCTATTTTCACATTAAAATTACCCCTTATTTTCTCATTCCAACTGTGCAAGTTACTATGGTTTTTTTCAGGTACGGCAAAGTATTGACGTTTTCGGGTGCTGAACGAGCATTAACTGATAGTGATGATTTGTTAATAAAAAAAGAACACATTTTAGAAGATATTGTTGTTAGGTTTTGTTTTGCTACCAAAATCGATCGTGGAAAAATGATACAAGCATCGGGTAGGTTACAACCTTCTTAAAATGTTGAAAATTGAATGAGCGGTCTTTTTTTTCTGGTTATCGATTATTTGTTAAAAAAGCTTTCAAAAATCAGCATTCAAGATTTTAATAATGAAGTAGGTTTATGAAATGAAAATTTAGCAAAAAAAAGTAGTATTGGTGGTTGAACAACTTATGGATTGAAAGTTAATTTAAATTACAGAATATAATCCAGAACGTGAAATTCCGAAAGCACCTTGCGATGTTCGTTTACCATTTGGCGAAGAAATGCTTATTGTGCCGGGTCTTATAAGGTAAACTTCTGACTTAATTCAAATTCAATTCTTTTTTTCAAAATTTATTATCCTCCTTAGTTAATGCAGGGAATGGACAGCGGAAGCAATTTTTGAAGAAAATGATGATATCAGATCATTACCACAACTAGTACTTGATGCCGTATATCGGGTAAATATTTCGCTTGCTTTAATTTATTATTGTTCCAATCTCTCAGTTTATTTGTGTTTTAAAATAAGGAATTTGGCGTATTAAGTTTATAGTTAATTCCATCTCATGTTTGTTTCATTAATGGTAATGATAACTAGCTTTTTTCATGGAAGATCTTTTCTTAAAATATTATCAAGAAAAAGATTTGTTAGTCTGTCTTTGTGTCCAATATTGTTTATGTTGCAGTTCAGGACGATAGTATAAGAGATGTGCATCCCAGGATATTGATTTTTCTGATAATTGATTTCTCTCCACACATTTATTTTTTTTTTTTTCTTTGCACTAAAACTTAACGCTCTTTTAATGACAAAGTATTTAGTGTCCAATTGATACAAGAAGAAAGCTGTTAGATAGTATAATATTGGTTGGTGGTACAACACGTATGAAAGGTTTCTATGCGCGACTTCGAGATGAAATTTTACATTTACTGACAGCCCCGGCTTATGCGCAAAAATTAGGCAATATTAAATCCGTTAAATTTTATCGATTACCAAATACATCAATTGAATTATATGCTAGTTGGATTGGAGGTAATTTAAAAAAAATTTTATTCAGTTGCTATTTTAAATAATTTAAAAAAAATTTTATTCAGTTGCTATTTTAAATGAAACAACTTAATTTACCATTCATATTGAGTGATGGGCGCACTAGCATCTCATAGATAGATACAGGTATATAAGCATTATTGCTGAACAACTAAAAGCATTTCATTAATGTCAAAAATTTAATGATCTTTTTAATTTGTTTATGAGTGATAACATATAGCTGCGACAATGAAAGTAGTTAATTTAAAAGTGTGTAACATTTTAAAATTTGTTTAAGAAATACAGTGATTTTAATATTTTGAACGTTGAGTAATCAAATTTTGAATTAGGCGATATACTTCAAAAATGTTGCCGCATTCCTAGGAATTTAAAGATGATAATGTGTTAGAACCATTAAATTTTTTTTTTTCAAAGATCTGAGAAAATTTTGATTTCTTTGATTACTCATTATAGGATTTGCTAATAAAAAAAACATCTTTTTCATACTTTAATGCGTTTAATGAAATTTGACAGGTAGCATGTTTGGAGCTTTAGATGTGCTGCAATATCATTCTATGACACGACAGGATTGGAAGGCACAAGGTAAAGTACCGGATTGGACGAGCAATGTTTATGAGATGAATCGAGATCCGGCGAGAAGTCGTTAAATTTCTTCTATAAACAAAATTTGCTATCTTCTCGCTTGCAAAACTTAATTTTCTACACATAATATTTCTTATTTCTTAAGCTTTGTTAGGTAAGCTTTAGTGAATTCAGTCGGGAATGAGTTTTCTAGAAAAGGTAAGTTATTTCAGAGGTTTTCAAACTTTCTGTCCCTGTGCGAAATTTCTGTGGTATGCTTTAGGAATCTTTTTAAAAAAGAGTTTTAAATGTTTGTTTTCGTTTTGGTCTATAAGTATTTAGTGTTGCTTTAATGTGCATATGTAAATTACAATTATTTAATCAATAAAGTAATTTTTTGGTATTTTTATTGTGTGTTTCATTGGTTCTTCTACCGGATTTCCTTTTTTTTTTTTCTTTTCGGATTTTTCTCAGTGTGCTTACTTTTTTATTTCAGGATGACTGAAAATTTTTATTTTGGGAGTGCATTAACTGTTTAATATATTTTCTTAGTGAACCATAAAATTCAAGAACCATTTTCCAAGATATCCTTCTATAGAAGTATGTTTTGGTGTCTTTTTTTTTATTCTTTACTTTATTTTAATAATTTTTACTGTGATATTTTGTATTTTTTATTGTATTTGTTACCAGTTTTATAGTATTACGAGTTTCATAGATTCTTCTACTTCCTTGATATTCCGTATCTAACTTATCCATTTAATTTTTTCAATATAAAATTAAGTTAAATTTGACATAGGATAATGGAGTTTTTTTTTTTTAACTTTGTTTTAGTATTTGGTAATATTCTAAAACTGATAACAGATATGACAAGAAAAATGCAGGACATCAGGACATCACAATAAAAACTATTAAAATAAAATAAATATAATAATAAAAGAATAGAGAGATTGAAAAGCTGAATAGAGAATTATATGGAAGATCATAGTTATTTGTGAAAATACTAATAATGTATGGCATTTTTTTTTTATCAGTATTATTTGTATTGCAATATCACGAGAATATTAGTAAATATCAAAAGGAATAAACGAATAGAGAAATTGGAAAAGTTGAATAGAAAATTCAAGAAGACAGTTTTTTTTTTTTTTTTTTTATTTCTATTTGCATAAATTACATTTATGTTTAATTCGTATTGATTTTGCTTGTTTTAACCGATGACCGAAATGGTTCTATTTTCTATATGATATATTTCGAATTAAACTTTTTCTGCTATTTTTTTTATTTTAACGAGATGAATTCTTGTTTTTTTTTTTGATCTTGAAAGTTGATTTTCGTTGGAGGAATTTCATTAATTATTATCAGATCTTTTGATTTATCTTTGATGTAAACTTATATATAAACATTCAGTATTTTGGTGGTTTTCTTTTTTTTTTTTTCTTTGTTATTTATTTAATGATTCAACTAGACGCTTTTCGTGAAATAATATTTATTTCCTGCTTTAAGTTCAATATATTATTTGCAGGTTTACAAATCGAAATTCTATTTAAATTAATTGCAGTTGCTCAAATTGTTCACTAATTTATCGAAGGTAAGTTTTAATTTCAACATTTTTTTTTCTAGATTTCAAGCCTTTCATTTTTGTGAAGGCTTATTAAGTTACGAAAAAAAGTAATGGAGAATTGCTATTTGTAGTTTGGAAAAATGAGAAATGAAAATTTTTTGAAAAATGAAATGGTGAAAAACTTAATATATCAGGTGGTTAGTGACCACCTGATATATTAAGTATTTTTTATACTTTGATTCGAAACTAAAGGTGAAACTCACACTTATTTTATTTTGAAGTTTGTTTTGAAGTTTTTTAAATTTATATCTTTGTTTTTTAAAAATAAGTTATTTCTTTTGTCCTTCTTACATGCTTACAGAGTTTCATGATAGTTTACCTTATGTGACGTTCAAAATAGAAATATTAAAACTTTAGCTTAGAGATTTTCTTGTCTAACATAAGTTTATCTAACATCATATTTTCTCAAAAAAAAAAAAAAAAATGCTGTTAATTGGGAGGACTGAAATTGAAAAACAATTTTCAAGTGTCGTACTTAGCATTTAAAGAGCATTTTTGTCAAAGCGATCTTTCATTTTTCACTGGATTTTTTTTTATCCATTCAAGCCAAAAGTTCTAAAATTAAGGATTTGAAATAAGTTTAAAACAAAGTTTATATTAAAAACATTTTTTTAGCTCTTAACATTCATTTTTTAATTCAGAAATTTAAGCAATGTGGATTTGTTCATTTCTTTTTTTTTTTTTAACTCCAAGTTCTTTTTTATTTGAGAAGTGAAAAGATGAAAGGAATGATTTAGCTTTCGTCTGAATAATGGAAATAATCCATTTTGGATCTGTTATCCTATTTCTGTTATATATCATTCATATATTTGTCAACAATTCCATTATTTCATTTTATCGTTAGTTTGTCTTCTCTACATAACTCTTTATATAAAGTAATATGTTAGTTATTAAGATTAAGTAATATGTTAGTTATCAAGATAATTTATTACAAATTTATCATTCATAAAAAAACAAACAGTTTGTTTACAGTGTCTAATATTAATGATTTCCATTTTTTCCATTTTTCCCAGTAACTTAATCTTTATTTAAAATTAATAATATGCAAAAGTAACGAATTAAAAATCACTGTTAAATATGAGCATATAAATTTTCAATCATACAAGGAAGAAGTGAAAAAAGATGGTGAAAATTTTTTCTTTTTCTTTTTACATTTTTTTTTTTTCATAAATACTGAGGATAAAGGATGTCAAAAAAAGATAATAGTATGTATTTGAAATAGGATAACATTAAAATATTATCTAAAATAGAAAAATATTAAAAATTAATGGCTTTGTTTCTTTCAATATTTGAAGCTTTTATTTGGTATATTAGTCATTTTTCTATTAAAAAAAAAAGACAAAAAAATTCGCAAGAAATGTAATTAATTAATATTGTTTTCCTTACTGATAATTTTTAATCTACTATGGCTTTCATTTCTACTTTGGTTTTTCCTTACCTTTATGGAATATGTAATTTTTTTTTAAATAATATTAGTGCTCACATGCTAGTATTTAACTTTCTTTCTTTTTTTTTTTTCATTCATTTTTATAATAGTTTTAAAAAAATTGAAGTCTTAAAATTTTTAAGTTTTATTAATTAAATCTTTCGATTAAATAATTGCTAAGCTTTGCATATCTTTTTTATTGTATAGAATGCTGATATAAATTGCAGCTATTTCAAACGTAGTAGAATAAATTTTTGTAAGAGAGTTTAAAAAGTTAAAAATGTATTATTGTGTGATAATCTATTTTAAATAAAATATGTATTTTATAATGAATGAATTATATATATATATATGATGATGATGAATAAAATAAATGAACTAAATTTGGTTTAGTTTAATAATTCATATCGATATCATATGAATTAATCGTGTGAAATAATTAATGATAAAATGAATAATCACATGTGTAGTTTCATCTTATGCTTTTTTTTTTGATAATAATAATTTATTAATGTTTAGGCAAAAATTAAAAGAAATATTTGTCAACAATAGGGTTATTTATTGTAATAATAAGAATTGATAAGTAGCAATATAAAGTTATAAAGTATGATGATAACAAAATTGGATAAATAGTAATATTAAATTATGAATTAACTATACGAAATAATAAATGAAAAGAATGAAATATTCGTAGGAGAATAATCGTTGCTATTATCTTTCATATTGTTAGTTTTCCAGTTAGCTCTACTAATTCCATCAATTTTTTTCGAGGAAGCTTTTTCGAAAGAACTCATTTCAATTTATCCTAATTCTTTCTTTTTTTTTTTTTTTTTTTTTGCAAGAAAACAAAGTTTTGTCATCATTGTGAGATTTTCCCTTTCATTTTTCATCTTTTTTTCTGCCTTTCTTTTTTTTTTGCAGCTTAACATTCATAAATTTATATAATTACTTAAATGACATTATTTTAAAATTGGAAAATAATTTCATTGATTATAATCCGTTATTTATTTTTGAAATAAGGAAATAAAATTTAAAAAAAAAAAAAAAAAAAACTTAAAACAGGGGAATAGAAATAGCTTATGCCATTTATGAAAATATATGTAAAATTTATGAAATATAATTTTAACATTGATATGAATAAATTATAACCTTTATTATTAGGGAAAAATGAAGTAAACGAAACACGAGAATTTGTAAGAATTGCTTATTGTTAGGTTGATGATGATCTACTGATAATAAATTCAATGATAAAATGATTTGATGATCGTTGTAAATTTGATACACGAATAATTGATATTACACTATCAAATGTATCGGAGAAGACATATAATATTGTTGTGTAATCGAATACTGTTGATAATTTTATAACATTTTGTGGAAATTTTAATCTTATTGTTGTTATTTTCTCTTTCTTTTTTGCTTCATTTTTTTCTTCTTTTTTTTTTTGAAATTTAATATTGGAAACGGATTCTCAGTTTATTCAGCTGAACTAGCAATTTTCCATTACATTTGGTATGAACAGGTTGATAGAAATGTGAAATGGGAGAAATAAATTTTTTTTTTTTTTTTTTGATTTTTATATCGAAATTGAAAGAACTATTTCAATTTTCATATCTTCATTTTTTTATGAGTTAAAGAAATGTTCTCATTAATATAATTATTAAAAATACTTCCATATGTTATTATTACATTATATTGAAGATGTTTGAGAAATTTTATTGAACGTTTGAATTTCATCGTTCTTAACTTCATTCATTTGTTCATTCAATTTCTGCAAAATTTCCACAAAAATCACAATTTTCACTTGTGATTTCTTCCAATCTAAAACTATTGAGCATAATTTCTCAAATTGATATCTAATTTAATAGAATATTGAAAAGTATACTTTAAATAAACTTTAGAAATTGCCATGCTAGAATCAATGGTTTCTTTTATCTTTAATAGTATTAAAATTTTGTTAGGTAATGCTTGAATAAATCAAATGATATTAAATTATTAAGCAAATTGTAAATTTTGGTGAATAAGTAAATTTATGATAAGAA